TTTTTTTTTTTTTTTTTTTTTTTTTTTTTTTTTTTTCTGAACTAATTGAAAATTAGACAAAAGGTGCTTTAGAATTACAAAAAAAAAAAAAAAATTTCTTTCCTATTTTTTTCTATATTTCTATTCAATAAAAATAATAATAAAAAATTACAAAAAAATTAAGTATATGTTTAATGACGGATATTAAATCTTTTATTCTATAAATTTTAAATAATTACAAATAGAAAATAAAGTAAATAATAATCTATATTTTTTTTTTAAAATATTTTCTTTTATGAAAATAAAGATGAATAAAGATTTAAAAGGAGATTGTTTATCGCAAAATTGCTCGTCAAAAATAAGTGAAGCAATAAATAAATATTCAATTAATACATTGACTAATAGTTCTAATGTAGAATTAGAAATAATGAAACGAAATGAAAATAAAAGTGATAAAACTATTCACATAAATGATTTATCTGAAGTAGAAATGGAACTAAAAACATATAGTTCAATAGTTATAGGCATGTATTTTTTTTTTTTTTTTTTTTTATTATTTTATAATTTTATAATTTCTTATTATTTTATAATTTTATAATTTCTTATTATTTTTAAAGATAATTTTGATACAATTATAAATAAGGATGACCACCATGATGAAAGATATAAATACTACATGAACAAATTAAAAGACAATAATAATTTTAAAAGTATATTTATATAAATGTAGAATGTATAATTTAAATTATAATAAAATTTTTTTTTTTTTTTTTTTTTAAGATTCTGAATTTTTTGCTATTTTAAACTTCATTATAGAACACAACAAAATAAATATGAGTGATTTAAATAAAAATATTCTTCAAAATATAAAAATTACTGAAGAAATTAACAAAACAAAAGATATAAATGATTTGATGAGAAAAATTGAACATGAAGAAATAAAAGAGTTAATATCACTAAACTTAAAATTATTTTTAATTGAAATTAAAAAAATATATCACACATTGAATGATTTCCTTTTTAAAGAATTTAATCAAAATAAAAAACTTTCTGATATAATTAAAACAAAAGCTCATGATAGTTGTGAAAAAAAAATAAATAAAATCAGTAGAAAACAATATACAAAAATTAATTTAATAATTAAAAAATATATTATTTTAAAAAAATATTACAAAAAATTATGTAAAAAATATAAAGAAGAAAATAACATGTTGAAAAAAATATATTTACATAATATAAATATAGGACAATTAAGTAAAGAACATTATATGAAAAGTTATAATATAAATTCAAATCAGAATAATTCTATTCTCATAGATTTAAAAAAAAATTATAAAAAAAATATTTTATCTAATTCAATTTTATATAAAGGTTAATACAACTAAATTACTGTATCTTCTAATTTTAATGTTAGATTTTTTTTTTTTTCTTTTTTTTTTTTTTTTTTTTTTTTTTTTTTAGATTACTTAAATAATGCTATATTTAAAAAGTATATTTTAAACAAAAAGGATAATAAATTAATTCAAAATATAATAAAAAAAAGTCAAAAGTTACAACTAAATTTAAAGAAATATAATTCTAGATATATATCAGTATACTGTAAAAAACCATTTAAAAAGTGGAAAGATAATATAAAAAAATTAAAATATTCAAATAATGAAAATTTTTCTTATCCTAAAAATTGTATAAATTATTATGACAATTTTCCTACATCAGTTAGTATTAAAAAAAAAAAAAAGAAAGAAGATGAAAATGTTTATGAACTCTTTACATGTGATAAAAGTGAAATAAAACACAAAAATAGAAAGAGCTTAGATATTTTATTCAAAAAAAAAAACTTATATAAAAAAAATGAAACACTTATTAATCTAAGAAAAGATAATATAAAAACAGATAACATGAAAGAATCTCCTGAATTAAATAAAATAAATTTAAATAATGTTACTGTTAGACCAAATGAAAAAGTTATATTTGACGAAGAAAAATTAGAAATAGAAGAAAAACTAACGAAAAAAAAATTAAGAAAAGATGATATTCTAAAAAAGGAAGAAAAAGATATTATTGAAAACTACAAAAAAAGTAATTACAAAGATAATGGAAAGAAGCAACAGGAAAGGAAAAAGATTTTCAGTAAAAATGAAAAAAATAAAAGTCAAAATTTAGAAATAAATAGTGATAAAGATAAAATTGTTCATGTAAAAAAAAATATTAACTATTTTTCTTGTGATTCCTTTGAAGAAAAAAAAAATAATCTTCTGAAAAAAAAGAAAAATGTATGTAAGTTAAAACATATGTTAAAAAATAAAAGTAAACTGGAAAATGAAAACAAAAATGAAACTGGTTATGAAAATAACAAAGAAAATAATATAATAATTTCATGCATTACAAAAGAAGATATAATTTTAAATAAAAAAGGAGAAACAAACAGATTATATCAAGAAGAAAAAATATTATCCAATGAAAAAAAAGAAAAAACAGTTTCAAATAAAGAAAAAGTAGACACAATTGAAAAAAAAGAAAAAGCAGATTTAGATGAAATAAAAGAAAAAGTAGTTTCAAATAAAGAAAATGAAAAAAAAGAAGAGATAGTATCAAATAAAGAAAAAGTAGACTCAATTGAAAAAAAAGAAAAAATAGACTCAGATGAAAAGAAAGAAAAAGTAGACTCAATTGAAAAAAAAGAAAGAATAGTTTCAGATGAAAAGAAAGAAAAAATATGTTCAAGTAAAAAAAAAGAAAAAGACTCAGATGAAATAAAAGAAAAAATAGTTTCAATTAAAGAAAAAGAAAATATAAACTTCGAAGAAAAAAAAGGAAAGACATTTTTAGATAAATAGAATCAAAACATGTTTTAGGTGAGAATAAAAATTCAAAAAGTGTTGAAAGAGATTCATATTAAATAAAAAGAATCAACAAACATTAATTCTTTTAAATATTGAAAAATCATTAAATAAATATTATTTTTAATATTAAATTTAAAAATAAAAAAAAAAGCAATTGAACAAATAGGATTTAAGTTTATTCCTTTTTTATCTTATTTTTTTTAGGGAAGTTTAATTTTATAATAGAATTATATAAAACTTAAAAAAAAAAAAAAAAAAAAAAGTATTATTTTGAGAGTTTTAATAAAATTTTAAAGTTAGAGAAAAAAAAAAAAAAAAGAATTATAAATTTTCTACATAATTCCTATTTTAGTTCTTATACAAAATAACAATAAATATTATTTTGTTTTTCATTATTATTTACATAAACTTTAACAAATTATTTTAATAGAAAAAAAATATAATGTGTATTTTTCTTATTGCAACGAAAAAACATATATTTCTTTATTTTTTTTTTTTTTTTATTATGTAATGAAATAAAATAATTCTTACTAAATTGTCTTAAATTTTAAATTACTAATAAAAAAACACAATTTAAATATATACCATTTTTTATAATTAATGTTTTAATATATATAATAATGTCTATATTTTTTTTTTTAAATTAGAACTTTTATATATATTTTTATTTTTTTTATTACTTTTTAATTTGTCTAAAAATACCAAAAAAGAAAAAAAAAAAAAAAAAAAAAATG